CTCCTCAGGGACACCAATACTTACATCTACGTCCAGGGGGGAAGTACTCCCATAAACTTGGGATAGATGTGTGCCGCCCACGGTCTTAAAGCCTTATCCTAATTTAGGATGAGACAAACGAAACTTGGCACCCTGTTATAGGCCCAAACCAGATAAATTACACCCCAGTCAAGGGGCAAAAATTATAAGAATTTAAGCCTTAGATTGAATGTTGGTTCATGATTTAATTTACTATAGGTACCCTATCCAAGGAAAACATTTTGAACCCAATTCCAAAACGGGTAAAATTGATATCCTATTTAAGGATCGAAACCCAGTGAAAAACCATACCCTTTTGGGCGGCAAGACATACCTACCTAACACATATATGGGAGTACCCCCACCCGGCATCCACCAAGCGCAAACCACAGTACCTCATTCAGTATGGAGCAGCTTAAGATTGGAACAGTCTTTCGAAGCAAATTAAATCAATTGCCTCTTTTGTCTTTTTTTAAGTTCGCATTATAAATTTATTTTTGAATGTCAGATCACCTTTGTTTTGTATAGTTTACGTAGAAACGTTGCTATATTTTTGTTCCCATATTTAAACTTTTTGCTCTGTATACGTTATAGTAATAGTGCTACATTTTAATCTGCACATGTATTCATACCAGTCTGTGATACTTTCGCTCACTGACACATAAAAGTTTTGCAATAAAAATTGTTTATTATCATTTTCACTATCATTGTCATTGTCATTATTATTATTTTCATTATTTTTATTTTAAGACCGTATCAAGGAAGAACTTGAGGACCAAAAGTCTCTTCGTTCACGAGGATTTAAGAACTGCGTCCATGACTTTATTCGCGGGAAATGTGTGGACGCACTAAATTGCGATTTGGGAGTCAGTGGTCTTGATACGATATGTGATGGCTGGTGTCCGTACCCAAATCAAGTGTGTTGCGCTAACAATAACCGCCGGTGCAACTGATGATGTAAGAAAAGGCTCTTTTATTGTTATCAGTTATTCTAATTAGATTAATTCATTAATTTCAAAACGACAGTAACGCAAGGTGTGAGGAGTTTTGGGTGAAAATCTGCCTGTACTACAAGCGTTTTATTCGGGTACGTGAGGATTTCCGCTCACTTAACTGCCATATTAAGTTCTAAAAAATCTCAGGCAAGGGTTTGATGTGAGAAGGGGCAGACCTAACCGCGGCCACAAAGGCCCAGCTCGGTAGACACTCTTTGCTTTGTTTAGAGGATCTCATTTACCCCTGAGTGGAAACAATATTGGTAATGGTTCATAAAATAATAAGATAAATGTAACTATGTTTGCTTTTTCCTGAGAATAATGAGATGTATGTTGTTGTAAAAGCTCCCCCCTCCACGAGTAAAATTCTGCTGAAAAATTGAGCCGATTGTAACACCACCCTGTTTTAAGATTTCATCGAGCGGAATATTTTAGTAGAGTACCACAGCGTTTTGCTGTTAATATGTAAAAATTAAACAGTATAAGTGACAACTTGGCGTTAAAGTACCTTGTTCAAGGAAATTTCTCTCGTTTAACAGCGTCAAGACCCCTAGTATAGTTACCATTTCCGGTTCTCCCTAATCTACGACAACACAATGAAAACAAGCATCTTTCGCCCGCGCCCAAAAAAATACACCTGCTTTAGAGGCTAGATGGAAGTACATAGTATATCCCGTTTTAAGCTCCAATCAGTTGCAATTCTAGCTCCCTTGATAAGTCTCTCTTATAGTTTGTTCTTTGTAATTTATTTTTTGAACAGATTTCATCGTGACGGCCCGTTTGCAGTATCAATGTGCAAGATAGGCGCTCCGCCTACAACAGTTGCTCATTTAGTATAATGGTGAAAGGGATGGTTAATTGGTTTAATGTATTCTGAGAAACTTGCATTTATCATTACAGTCAACTTTCGCTTTGGTGATCATGACACCTTGCTATTACAGACACCCCAACACTGACGGACAGCACATAACTGATCCCCGGCAAAATATATCGAGGCCTTGACTGAAAAAAAAACCCTGCTCTTAGGGACTCTTGATTTAAAGGACTCACGGAATAGGCAATTTAGCCGCATTGCAGCAGACCCCATCCACAGAAAGCGCGTACATTTCGATGCGTATCGGCCTTTCCGTCCACGCTAATACGCCGAGCGTTTTCATCGAAAACGCATTGATTTGAAAACGCTCTTGAAAGTAGATCGATACGGAAACGTATACACATCTTATTAGAGTGTAAGGACTCAAGGACATTAGAAAATTTCAAGTTGTAGTCGTGCAGTGTCGCAGAAATGTTCCAGAAGGATTGCCGCAAGTGCAGAGTTGTTCTGTAAGTTTTTCTTATAAAACCTAAGTTTATGACGTTATCATTGCCGTCGTCATAGTGATTGCAGTAAACTCCCTGTTATTTCTGAGTTAGAGTCGGTTCTACAGTCAAACAAAGTATAAAGACAAACATATGTTTTCAAGGATATTTCCTCCTGCATCCCGCCGTTATTACGGACTCTCGCTATATATTATTATTTTAAAAGGACACTGATTGGTGCTTAACAGAGTCGCAGTCCTGACAAAGACGAAAGTTGATCGCATAATACTCGTGATTTCAATTTTTTATAGTTTGATCAGTTACTAGTGTTTTTGTTTGTTCTTTTACGTAATCATATCTTGCAAAAATAAAGAATTTAATGAAATGGATTTAGCTGTTGTTTTGATATCGTAGTCGCTATTCTTAGAAAAAGAAAATGATAAGTTAACCCCAGAGGTTTCTTCTCGTGTGACTACATTTGAAATCTGTCCAAACCCCAAAGCGGCAGAGCTTAAATAAAGGCCGTTTTCACACCATAGACTAGAGACAGATAATCCGTCTGATATATTTGTCTTTTTAACGTGAATTCGAGAAGGATAAAGATTTTAAATTTGCCTTAATTGTCACGGATTCACATTAGACGCTGCCTCGTCGCCAGTCGCACGCGATAACTTTTTGGGGGATATTTGAGTTAATTATCAAGGAAAGCGGGGATTAAAGGAGAGATGATTTCCCATCACTCCCCGCTCGCGCTCTACGCTCGCTTCCATTATCCCCCTCTCGCTTGTTCTCTAATCCCTTCTTAGCCTTGGTAAAGCCCGTGGAGGAGGCAGCATTAGACGGATGAACCTAAGGAAAACCAAGCCTTCGACGCTCTGGTAGACTGCGAGCAGTCTATTTTTCTTCAGATTTAGTAAGGGGAGTGCACGCGCGCGCGAGCGGCGAAGCCGCGAGACGCGCGAAACGAGGGCGCCTCTCCCGTCTCACGCCATCAGTCACGCGCGTTGGCATTTGTGTGTCTCGCCTTTTGCTCGACAGACTTCAGAAAAAAGAGAGACTGTTCGTAGTCTAACGCTCTGGCGCTGTCACCAATCCATTACAATGGCCGCCAGGAAAAGAAAACTTGAATACTCCATTAAATGTACTACTTTTTCTTCAAAGTAAGATTTTCCAAGTCTAGAGCCCAAGGCTTGTCTCCTCCATCTAACCAGGATAATACTGTGGCAAAAAATGAAGGTTTCACCTTAACTCCATCTTCTATTCTTTGTGATTTATCTTTATCCTTGCGTGTCGGTGCTTTCACTTTGGATGCCACGTTTTGTTCTACGAATCCCACGACGCAAGTAAAAAGCAACCTCGTCGCCAGTGTCTTTTGGAAAGCGAGAAGACACTGACGAGAGTAGGAAGAAAAATGGGATGCGGTTATCCTTCTAGTGTGAATTTGAGACGATTATTGATCCGCCTTCGACGGATTAAAATCAGACAAATTATCCGTCCAAATTGAAAATCGTCCCGTTTTCTCATCTAGACGTATGTCTTAGACGGATAATCCGTCTCTAGTGTGAAAACGGCAATTTGAGCTTTGAGTGCAACTTTTTTCAATTCCTGTCTTGCGTGATTAAAATTTCCATGCGGGCTCAATATTAGTCTGAGGTATTTGTACGATTTGACGTTTTCTAATTTAATTGCGCCATATCTAAGGGTGTGTTCCTTTCGGTAAATCCAAAAACGGATTTTAGATCTAAGAACGGATTTCGCGTTCCTTTCGACAAATCCAAATCCGGATTTTTGATCTGGTGAATCCTGGATTCATTGGATTTGAAATCCGAAGAATCCAAATCCAGATTAACGGATTAGTGATCTACGCTGTTCCATTCACAGTGGATCCGAAATTAGTCAGATGATCCAGCGGTATTTCCAGTTGAAGTATTCCGATAGACGCCGTAGAGTTTCCTCGTTGCTGTCATTTGCCGCAAAACATCTGAAAACACGAGACGATTGTTCCTGGTACATTAAAATATCCATTATATACTAACCATTTGTCTCTAAAGATTGCTTGAAATCAGAAATAAGTAAAAGTAACAAATGAACTGCTATCTGACTACAAACTCGCTTGTAGACGCGACAGGCACTCGATCGTGTTACATAAAAAAAATCCGAGCTACGGAACTGGATCAAACTGGCCGACATTCTTTAGATAATTTTCAATTTTAATGCGCTTCTTTCTTTGTCTGTTTTATATGTTCGATCGTCGCTATTCGAACTGCCGACCACTAAATTCTGCACTGTATAATCGCATAATTTAATATTTATTTTCGTGCGTACATCTTCAAAATCCCACGCTACGCCCCTGAACACGTCATTTCTTGAGAGGCTGTCATGCATATTGCACGCGTTGGCGAAAGGTCACCAAGGTTACAAATCCAATTTCGGATTTCACGTTCCTTTCGACCGCAAAATCTGGCAAATCTAGGATCAAAAATCCGTTTTTGGATTCGCCGAAAGGAACACACCCTAAATATATACCCGCAATACGATTGACGTCACTCTTAGCTATGTGGATGGAAACGGACGTGAAGCAAGAAGCGTCGTGGTGGAGGCGTAATACGACAGTTAGATATTTACTCTGTCGGAGACGGAATACAAAAAAGTTTATTAGTCGTTCAGCATTACAACTTATGGTTTCTATGAATACTGAATTCCTCCAAAGGCAAACACTAAAAAGAAGCTAGTAGCTTCCACTCCAGCACGAGGAAAACAACAAAATCTGTTGAAAGGAAAAATAAGCAAAGTTAAGGAAAGACTGTTAAGGAAACGGCGTGCTTGTGATAACGTGGCTTAAAATTAAACAGGGTTATTTAGGTGTAGAATGATATTAGGAAAGGCTGATCGGATAGTTAGCTATGAGGTATTTCTACCTCCTGCCCAGATCTCCTGTTGACGAAGCCGAAGGCGAGATCAGGCCAAGTAAGAAAATTCAAGTTTTTTGATTGGCTACTGATTGTGAGAAAATGACGCGAGTGTTGTCACCTGCGCGCGCTATGGCGTGTTTAATTAATTAATTCTGTTCAAGTAACTATTTTCACTAAAGAAGTAGTTTTCCGTCTCAAGAGACTTTATTTAAAAACTCCCTCTCGGTGTCAATAAAAACTTTTGAAGAGGGTATAAAAAAAATTCTCGAGTAGAAATTGACGTGTACTACTTTGAGGTTTTAACGCGCGCAAGGATAATTAAATTCAAAATAACTGTTCGTCGCGTTGAATTTGATGTTAAAAGGAACAAAAACAACAAAAAGTTAGTTGTTTTATACTTAAGATGCGAGTATGACCACGTTTTGTTAGAAAAAACTTCACGGCTCTATCAAATTCGTAACGTTGCTTAAAACGTTGAAAATTTAAGATTTATTTCGAGCATGCGCTCTTTGATCACCTGCTACTTTCCTGACAGGCACTCACGTGTACAGATCGGATTTGATCAGATCTCGCCTTAGGCTTCGTCAACAAGAGATCTGGGTACGAGATTAATTTCTACCTCCATCCTTATGTCTCTCCACCTCTAAGTTTTGAGGTTGAAATGCTGCTCTACTAAGCCTCCCCTCCCTTCCCCCTCATCATTAAGCCCTCAGGGAACAGTTATATTGGAACTCAGTACATGATTTAAATTCGATTTTCATCCTTCACTGACTTTGTCAGTTATACCGTTACCTCTTGAAATAAGGCCACTACTTATTAACCGAGAGAGAGGTCATTACAGGGAAATCTCAGACCGACGCCTTGACGACGTATTGACCGGGCGATACCGAGCGATAGCGAGGTCAATACACAAGGCCTTGGTCTGATATTTCCTTGTAAGTTATTTATCATTTGGCCTTTTCTTTGACAATAAGAAATTATTGACCTGAGCCTGCGATCTATTAAAAACCAATAATTCACGTCAGCGGATAACTTTTAATAAACACGTCACCCCAATGAGTCGTACACCTGCGTCCGCGATACAGTCATGTGACACTAGTCAGTGGATAGCCTTTTTTGACAGGGGTCAATCGGTCATAATATGGATGCCCACCGTCAAGTTTTGTGTTCAAAAACTCAGATTGTATATGCCTTGGACACCTACAATGTAGCTAGTAATGCCAGGTCATTACAAGAACCAACAATCTGGAACGCGCGTACTGTTGTCGCCATATTTATATATTATTCCCTGTGCCCCTCGAAATGGTGCAAAAAATAATAATAATAATAATAATAATAATAAGCCCGCTTATCATTAAGATTACGATAAAGTAATTTCTTACATCAACATCATGTGAAGGCTAGCAAGAGTTGTATTTGTAAGTGCAGCACACTTTATTTACATAGAGGCATCGAGCATCTTCACATATCTTCGAGCCTTTATATAAACCGGATTCGCAATTCAGCCTGGTCGTACATTTCCCACCATGTATGTTTTTTTCACAGTTCTTGACCAAATTCCTTTTAAAAGTCTGGGGCTCTTGGGCTGGTTCAGCCTTGAGATCATCTACAAAAGACAATTGAAAAGTGAGGAAACTATTTAAAGGTTACCAGATACCCGGCTCAGAAGAAAACTTTTGTAGAAATTTCGATTTTTGGCTCATAGTAAAGGTTTTAGTGTGATCTTTATGAAATAGAAAGAAAAATGAGAAAGAGTAAGTTTTGAAGGAGAAATGACGGTTTTTCTTTTCTACAGGAAGTAAAAATTACTGTTTTGATTGGCAGCCAAATGGTGTTTTTCGGAGGGATTTCCACGGCCGGTTCATGAATTATCAGGAATGTTTCTCTTATAGTTAGCGACTCAACGCAGAGTTCATTTGTTTTTTTCATGTTTTTTTGTCCGTGGGCAAGTTCAAAAAATCCCACGAAGAGAAGGACGAAAGAGATCGAGTGTCAATGAAAGAGACCCCAAGACAGAAGAAAATATATAAAAGAAGCAACGGAAAGAAATAGACATTTGACAGTAACAACGAATGAAAAAGAACTTTTCGATCATTCGTCTTAGCTGATGAGTAGAGCTCTTCATGTTTACTCAGAGTAGTCCCGTCGCTGTTAAATGTATCATCCTCTCTCTATGTCAACAGTCGGCTAAGTGGAAGCCACAAAACTTTGAAATAGTTTCTTCTTTTCCCCAATTTTAGTGGTGCTACTGACCTCTCGATTAACCAGTGTTGGAACGCCCCTTACCCCGCCCCGCCTTTCTCCCCGAAATAATTGCTGTGCATATTAATTTAAAAGATAGATAACACACTTACTTAGAAGTCGCTGGTACGGGTTGATGTCATGGAACCTTGCTTCAGCTACAAAGCCAATGATCAGTAGGAAGATAACCACCTCGCGTAGCATCTTGGGAATTCTCTGCATTACTATTAGCAATTATTGGACAAGACTCAGAGTATTATGGACATCGAAATGTCTTCATTATGATTTTCTTTGACAATATGCTAAGCGCTCGGTCATTATTTTTAAGAAGGCCTCGGAACAATTAACGGGTATTGCCCCTTAATAGCGGAGCTCTCGCGCGAAGCGTGCGCAGCGGAGCACCATGGGTAAGAAAATGTGGTAAACTACCCATCCGAGAAAATTTGGTAATCACGTGACCCTACACCGAACGACCGCCCGACCGTCCGTCCTCACCACAGGCATACCAATGTAAAATAACTCAATCAACAGGTATGGCAACCCAAATGCAACTCGAGGTTATTTTCGACGGGAAATAACTAAAGAGTCGATGAAGAGGAAAATGGAAAGCGAAAATTGTCTCTGTATCCGTGTTTTCTAAAGTATCAAGCTTAGATTAATTGTCATGTCCACAAATTTGTTTTTTTTATTGGAAGAACAACATGAAAATTTTGTAACGGCGGTGACAAAATGAGAAATGCTAGCGGCCACCAATGCAAGGTGAAAATGAGCGGCAGTGAAAAACAAGTGAACGAATAAAACGTGTAACTAAGAGGTTTCTGGAAGTTTCACGTTGTAGTCGTGAAAAACAACGGCAAAGAAATGTACAAGAAAAGTGTGCTGCACGTGCAATGTTGCTTTTTTGCTAATTAGACTTATTAGGGCCATTTATACGAGGAAAAATAAGACACGAACTGTACCATTTATACGACGGTGTCTTATCTAATAAGACGCGTCTTAGCTAAGCCGCGTCTTATTTTAGACGAAATGTGCCGTTTGTACGGAAAGTTCGCGTTTTCCGTCGGCGTTGACTATTTTCACACCCGGCCTTTTTGTGTGGAAGACACTGGCGACATGAATGTTATTATAAGGCCCGGTTTAGACGCCGAACTTTTCTTGAGGCGAACCTAATTCGAATTAAGGCCGACCCCAAATTATTAGGCCGGCTGAATTGATTCAGACGCCGATCTTAATTGCAGCTGAACTAAGTTCAAAAGGCGAAAAATGTTCATTTCGGTCAAACTGCTTGCAAAATGCGTTATAATAATACGTTATAATAATATATATATATATATAGGTTCGGTACGTGAAAAGTTCGGCGTCTGAATCAAAGCCGTTTCATAGTCGCTCCAAAGGCAAAAATCCCGGCTGGGCTAGGCGCCGAACTTTTCATGTACTTAATTCAATGTATTAGGTTCGGCTCATGAAAAGATAGCCTACGTTGCAGCAGGCCCACGCACTCGTCTGAACCATTAATATAGTCGTGGCTGTGCGGAAAAGGCTAATATGCAATGACACTTCGTGACTTTTTTTTTTATCAGTGCCTTCGTATGTCCAGCTCGAAACATTAAAACAGCGGCTGCGTTTGCAAATTGATTGGCGCCAAAAAAGGGCGCACTTTTAAGTTTAATTTATTTCTTTGGGTCATTCTGCGTATATGACATTCCGCATAATTGTTTCATTCCGCAAGCCATGCCACAAGCCACTCCGCAAACTGGTGCCGCCTTTACCCTCACCGTTTTTTATTTTCGTGTTTGAAGACTCTGGCGTCATGAGAATATCATGACTATTATTACAAGTTAGAGAGCTTGAGAGATTGAGGCTTGCTCTAAAACTCCTCAGTTCACGTCGTGGCGGGCTAGCTCATCAATTCTAATACCTGTGAAAAAATTCCCTAGACACCTCTTCACATACTTCAAATTTACTCCGATAAAAGGTACCCTTTCGGACGAAGGAAAATACTGAAAAAACGGCTAGATGTACTAGCTATCATGGCGCGCAGAGCTTGAGCTCGAAGATGAGAAAAAAAAAACTGGGAATAATCGTTGTTCTTATTGGTTCAAATCCCTGGAAAATTGTATTGCGAAACACACTGGTAAGGGTACAATGGCATGTTGGTCAAGAAGTATTCTCCTACTTGAATACCAATCAACCGGAGTAGATGATTCCATGGGAACGCACCTGACTAGTCAGAATATAAAGACAAATCTCATAACATTGTATTCTTAAAACCTTACCTTTTGTGCCCGTCAGATTGACTGTTCTGAGGAAGATGATTAAATGGAAATCTGCTTGTGTTGACCAACATATAAAGGCTTTAAAAACAAAAGATGTTGTCTGTAATTGACCACTCCAGAAAATACCGTAACATACCATAACGCTCTTTGTTTGTCACTCCAAAAATTTGAATAAGCATTGTTTTCAGTTTCTCTTGGCGCCATTTTAACTCCCAAGAGAAACTGAAGACAATGCTTATGCAAAATTTTGGGGTGACAAACAAAACGGCTAGCTCATCACTAGCAGATTGATGGACATTTACAGAAATTCGCCGACAATCAAATTCTGTGCTGACTTATTCCCTGCTCACAGATGTCCTTCCGTTATAAAGTTTCAAATAAGACTAGAATGCGCTAGCGTGAATCAATAAAACGTCGTTTTAATTTCTGAGGCTTACTTTCCGGCAAGTAAAATGAACTGAATGTAAAAAGGGAAAGAGAAATAGCGAAAAATTCAACTTCTAATTAAATCTTTTCTTATGGTTTAGAATAAACTATTCTCGAAACTGAGCATGTTTTGATCAAAGCTGTGTAAATCGAGCTGAAACTGTGCATGGAACCTTGCGTTTCCTGTATTTATCTTATTTATCTCACCTGTTGTAAGGAATATGTGTGAAAATCTTCATTATGAATCGGTATATTTCAAAGAGCTACACAATCAGCAAGAATACTGTTGACCGACAATATACAGAATGGGGGCAGCTGTAGTGTCAACTATTATTAGTGGTATGTTATGGTATTTTCTGGAGTGGTCAATTGGTGCATCTTGAAGAGTTCGAGTCATAGATGATTCCTATTTATCTGCTTTTGATTTATTTTTCAAAAGACTTTTTCACTGTTGGATCCTTGGTTTTCGACGGCTTACAGCTCTTAATTAGTGCCGATGGAAGATCCGAATGATCATTGCGGTCTTTAATTTTAGTATCGATCGTGGATTTTAAAAATAATCTCCGTGTGTAATTTGTGATTACTTACGCACTTGATCTACAGGACCTACTCTATAGAGTGTTTTCACTCATGTGGCCAGCATGGATGCAAATTTATTGGAACAAAAGAAAGCGTTTGCATAAGAAAGGAGTTCAACTCCCACAGGATTGGTTTGGGACACCAACATGGCCGCGGTTTCATTGTTTTGGGACACCAATATGGCCACCGTGACCTCATGTGAAATCACTTTATTGTGCTAAAGTCCAATAGCGTAATCTGAAGAAATTGTCTTGTATAAGTGCAGTTGCGGTTGCCCTTTTGTACACGCAGTCCCTCAAAAAAGAATTCAATCAAAATTCAAGAATGGCCGCCACTATTAAGAACGATAATGATAGTGCACAAGTTTACGTAATTCCGCGAAATTTTACGTCCGCTGGTACGTTCAGTAAAATCTTTCATGTTTTCCTTTACCTTGAATTATGAAGATTTTTTCTTTCCCAAAAGCGAAGGAAATTGGAAAAAAAAAATTTTCACCCCAATTTTCGAGAGAAAAACCATAGCCCTTCTGGTCCGACGCAGGAGCCCGGAACACTCGCACACAAAGCCAAATTAACCTAAATACACTAGGGGTACATTCCGGCAAGTGCCAACAAGGCGAAATTGGTTTATCTGTTGTGGAATGTGCCCATTCAGATCTTCTTTCATAATTTTAGAGGTTTAAAATGAATTCCGCTATAGAAAAGGATGGTACCCAACTTCAAAACAACAACTTTGGCACATTCTAAGCTTTCACTTTTATTAAACAATAACAACATGGCTTGAAGCTTTGTTGGTAAATATGAGCACGTTAGCACTTTTGTTTCATAAAACATTCCATTGTATCAAAGCTATAAACGTTAGAAAGAAAAATATAGTTCAAATGAGGCCTTTGACTGCTGAAATTAAAATAATAATTAAATTTCGAACAACAGCGTCATCAGGGATAAGAAAAATATTTTTCGTGGTAATTATACATTAGAAAAAAATTGGTGTAAACTAAAAATGTGTGAAAAGCGGCACGAATGGGGCGGAATGTATCAGAGGTATAAAAATATAAACTTGAATAAAATACAAAGATCTAATGAGCGAGTGTCACAGGACAAAGAGTCTCTTGAAAGGCATAATGATTCATAATGATAGTCTGAAAAACAAAAGGTCCGCAAATTCGTTGCATTCCTCACGGGAATTTTGGGCTGTCTCAATGTAAATCGAGCAGCAAAAATACATGCTGGTTGACAAAATCTCTCAAAAAACATAAATAATTTTTTTAAAAAAGGTCCGCAAATACGTTGCATTCCTCACGGTGGTTCTGATATAAGTTTTGAGAATATAACCTTATGCCTTGATCAACTACCGCTTAAAATTAAGTTCACAAAGGAAAGAGAACACTGAAAACCCTGGTTCGGAGTCGAGAAGCGAACACGCTACCTCAATATTAATCGAGCTGCAAAGAACAAGCTAGTTCTGACAAAAATTTCAGCGTAAAACCCTATTCCTTGCTGCTGCTTTAAACACAATTTATAAAGCAAACCAGAGCACTAATTGCCCTTTCAAATTAGAAAACGTATTAAAGCTTGCTCACCAGTTAGCTCCTCTTGAACAGACAACGAACAGCTGCACACTGAATCACCCAATCTTGAACCACGAGTTGTAAATACAAGACCATGACGTCAATACCCAAATATGGGGTCTTACTTACACCCAAATATGGTCAAAAATGAAAAGTTTAGAAGGTTACGCAGAATTTGAGAAATTTTGCCTACATTGCGCGGCGTTATAATTCTGCCGCCGAGTCAACCTCGCTTCTTAGCTCGGTTGCCTCGTTGGCAATAAGATGTGGGAGAATCGGCCAGGCCTTGCGCGTAAGACAAGGTATGCCTCATCGCTGCGGGGAGAAGGTCGGAGCGAGAACTGCTATCGAGGGTGGCGAGACCTAAACTTTACTAGAACTGGCTGAATAATCGAGCAGGCTGCTCTTAAAACTAAGGGGCAAGGTCTGTGGGTATGCCGTGTATTCCCCTGAGCCACGCTGAGAATTTTAGGAAGTGCATTGATGCTAGGCTTTTGTGCGTCTTTTCCCTTGTGAGAATAGGGTTAAATCAAGTGTGCTTCATTATGTATCGACAGTCCCTGTAATGGCAATAATTCAAAATGTTTATCTTTAATTTATATTACAGTATTCGTAACCCGAGCTCTAGGCCATTTAACAGTTGTGTGCTCATTGCCCTGGCCTTTGAATAGAAGCGAGGCTCGCGGTGACCTTGTTTTTTCAGAGGCACCTAACGTCAATTTTCGGAAAATATCTTTTCGGAAGACGATTTGAGATCTAGAATTTTCGGATTATTTGTTGTAAAATTTCCTGCTTGCCTACCTCTCCTAGGATTTTCGAACATCTAAAAAATGTTATAATTGTCTATTTTTAACGGATTTTTACCCTAAGAAGGTCACCTAGAATTTTCGGGAGCTTTTTTTCTGGCTGAAATTTTTGAAAAGGTAAGTTTTGATCCCTATAATTTTCGGATCACTAGACTTTCAGCTAGGAAATCCGAACAGATGAAAATTTTTTAGGGGATGATACGTTTAACAATGCAATGTTTAAGTGGTTTTGACCTATACTCTTGTTAGGTGCCCCTGTTTTGTTACAGACCTTGTTGTTTTTTGTATGTAAATGATCATGTTCACAGGCTTATTAGCATGAGAATACCACGATTTGGACATGAAAAGCAGGAAGGTTTGCAACAAAACAAGGTCACCGCCAGCCTCGCTTCTATTCAAAGGCCAGGGCACTGAGCACACAACTGTTAAATGGCCTAATGTTGACCAAATGTGGACGATATTTGCCGAAATACCCGCAATACGATTGAGTCAGACATAAATCGTAGCTATATGGATAGAAACGCATGTACAGACGTGAAGCAAGCGGCGTGGGGGGCGGGGGGGGTCTCAGTACGACAGTTAGATATCTACTCTGTCAGTGATGGAATACAGCATAGTTTATTAGTCCTCAGTGAGTCCTTCAGTATTACAATAGTGTTTATGAATACTAAATCTCCAAAAGACTAGAAAACACTAGAAAAGACGATGGTAGGTTCTTAGAACAAACCCTTCACCACTCCAGCACACGGAAAATTTTGTCACAATCTGTTGAAAGGAAAAAAATAAGAAAAGTTAACGAAAGCCTGTCAAGGAAACGGCGTGCTTGTGCAATAACGCGGCTCAGAACGGATAGGTGTAAATTAGTCTAGGCTGATCGGATAGCTATGAATGGGTTGTGTAAACAGCTTTGCTTTTAATTTATAGTTTTATTCCTTATTTCTGATCCTGATCTACACCAAAATCCGGCTTCTCTTCGCTGCTGTATCTCCAAATGTACCTCGCAAGAATTGTTGACCAATATATATATAGGTATTTCTACCTCTTTCCTTATGTCTGCCCGGCCTAAGCTTTGGGGTTGAAATGCTTCTCTACTAAGCCTCTCCTCCCTCCAACCTCCTCGTTAAGCCCTAAGGGAACATGTAGGGACCGCTCATTATTTATCGCCTGGGGGAGGGGGCGGCGGAGGATTTTAGGGGGAATCACTTGATTTTTAGGAGAACAAAAGGGGAGGATCAGTCGTAACTGAGAACTCAAAAAGGAGGGCTGAAAACTTTGGAAGGATTCAGAGGGGAGACCACTCAAATTTGCTTGGAAAAGGAAGATTTGGGGGGGGGATCGCGAAAGTCAGCAAAAGTTATTAGGGGGGATCACTTCAGTGAAGTAACATTCAAAGCGGGGATCTGCTAAATTTCACCTTGTTTGCTTGCCCTCCCCCTCCCTCCCCCACGTCCCTGGCGATAAATAATGACCGGTCCCATATATTGGATACCCAGTACATGATATAAATTCGTTTTTTTATTCTTCACTGAGTTTGACAGTTTAACCGTTACCTCTTGAAATAAGGCCACTACTTATTAACCGAGGGTGAGGTCATCACAGGAAAATCTCAAACCGAGGCCTTGCCGGTATCAATACAACAAGGCCGAGGTCTGAGATTTCCCTGTAAAGACCGAACGGACGAGTTTAATAAGTTTTTTATTACATGACCTTTTCTTTGACAATGAGAAATTATTGACCTGAGCCTACGATCAATTAACTCACGTCAGCGGACAACTTTAAAAAACACGTGACCTCAACGAGGTGTGCACTTAAGTCCGCGATGCAGTCATATGACTCTGGCCAGCGGATAGTCTTCCTTTACAGCTGTCAATTGACCATGATAGCAATGTCCACTGTCAAGTTTTGTGTTTAAAAACACAGATTGTGTTACAGGCATCCCAAGCTCACGTTACGAGTGTGTTATTTAACTGAACTTTCTCACAAGAGAGTCGGTGTAGCGTTACAAGCGCCCGTTGAGACTTTGTATGAGAAATAAAATACTGAGGTCTGCGAACGCTAAATATCATTATTCTTACTTATTTTTCTATGAAATAAATTAAGGAGACTTACCTTTGATGTATCCCTGTGTTTTTTGGTGTGAATTCATCGATTTAGTCGGTTTTTTGGCTGTTATTGTTTGACCCCTGTCACTCTCTTGGGGTTCTTAGATCTTCCGGCCCACCCGACTCTCTTGTGAGAAAGTTAATTTACATAACACACTCTTAACGTGAGCTTGGGACACCTGTGATTGTATCTGCCTTGAACACCAACCTAGTATTACCCGGTCATTCCAAGTACCAATCAACCAGAGCGTGAGTACTATTGTAGCCATATGCCGATTTATTACCCCATTTCCAGTAAGCTAGCAGCCCGTGCCCCTGAAAATGGTGCGGCAAAGTAAGCCCGCTTATCATTAAGAGTACAATAAAGGAATTACTTACATCAAAATTCTGTGAAGGCTAGCACAAGTTGTGTTTTTGAGTGCAGCACACATGATTTAGACCTGAACATCTAGCATCTCCACATATCTTAGAATTATGTGTGTTTTCGCAATCCAAATTGGTCGTACACTCCCCACCAGCTATGTTACTTTCACAGTTCTTGATTATCCCAGTCCTTTTAAAAGCCTGCCCTTGCACTGGTTCTGCCTTGAGATTATCTACAAATACAATTAGAAAGTGAGGAATAGCGGACCGTAAAATTCCGAAAATAGGCCCCTCCATGTATAAGCCCCCGAAAATCGTAACTTAAAAAACCCTTCGTTAAATCGCCCCTCCGAATATAAGCCCCCCTGGGGGCTTGTACTTGGAATTTGCACTCGAATACAAAGTAAAACAAACCAAAACTGGTAAATTTCCTTCCCACTACAAGCTGGCCCAATCGATTCCGAAACGCAAATTTCCCCCCGTACATAAGCCCTTCCGAATATAGGCCCCTCCAAAAATAAGCCCCTCAAAAAGGGCCTTTGAAAAATATAAGCCCCGGGGCCGGGGCTTATTTTCGGAATTTTGGGTACAAAAAAAATACATATATTGCATAAATTTTGATTTTTGGCTCGTAGTAAAGGTTTAAATGTGAGCTTTATGAGTAACAAAGAAAAAATGAAAAGGAGTAAAACTGTAGGACAAATGACGGTTTTTCCTTTCTACCGAAGTAAACTTTACTTTTTTAATTGACAGCCCCATGGTGTTTTTTGCAGGAATTTCCATTGGCTTTGGATGAATAATCAGAAATGTTTTCTTTTAGTTAGTGACTCGACGCAGAGTTCTGTTGTTTTGTTGTTTTCGTGGGAAACAAGTTAAAAAAAAAAACCCAAGGTGAGGACGAAAATGATCGAATTTCAATGATGAAAGAGAACCCAAAGACAGAAGAAAATTACAGAAGCAAAGCCAAAAAATGAACATCTGACAATAACAACAAATGAAAAAGAACGTTTCGACTATTCGTCTTAGCTGGGTGGAGTGCTTCATGTTTACTCAGAGTAGCTGACCGTTGCTGTTAAATTGTATTATCCTCTCTCTATGTCAATAGTCGGCTAAGTAGAAGCCACAAAACTTCCTTTTCTTCTTTTCATCCCTGAAACAGGCCCGTAGCCGGGACCCCTTGATTAACCAGTGCTAGGACGCCCCCCTCCTCGCCTTTCTCCCCGCAATAATTGCTGTACATGTTTATTTAAAAGATAGATAACACACTTACTTAGAAGTCGTTGGTACGGGTTGATGCCATGGAACCTTGCTTCAGCTACAAAGCCAATGATCAGCAGGAAGATAACCAGTGCGCGTAGCATCTTGGGAATTCGTTCGGAAAATCTGTAAAACAATAGATAAGAACGACATTATTTAGCAATTATTGGATGAGAATTTGAAGAATTATGGACATCGAAATGTCTTCATTATGATTATCTTTGACATTATGCTAAGCGCTCGGTCATTATTCTTAAGAGGGCCTCGGAACTCACAACATCAACCTACATTCTGAAGAGGACGGAAAAAACACGTTGTTAACAAACATCTTATTAATTAGTCTTATTAATTAATTAAAATGAGTATCTAGTTAACAAGGTGGCGAAAAAATTGAGTAACCAATGGTAATCTTTACGCTAGATCCTAAATAAGCTAAGAAATTTTTCAAGACAAGTAAATTTTAAATTCTTCAAGTAAAATGAAGTTTCACAGTACAACCTATCTTTATTACTTCAGGTTAACTCTAGGATAATTAAGATTGATTGACATGCTTCGCCTTTCTCAAAGCTCAAGAAACCGGTCGGTTTTAAGCCACGGCTTTCAAGTCACTTGTAACTTTTCATGAATCGTTTCATCTTCCAATATTTGTGGAATATAGTTCTCTCTAGAAGAAGCATTTGAGTTTCGCTGGAGCTCGTTGGCAGATAAACACACTACTTTACCAAAATCGACCACAAGACACGTAACATTGGACAAATTTATATTTGGAACTCCATGACTTCCAGATTTATTATAAAAACATTGCTTTGCGTCATCAGTATGGAATTTCTGCCGCTGAGTCGCAGACGTTCCTCCCCGCAAAACGTCCCCAGCGGCGAAGAGCGGGGAGAAACGGATGTTTTCGCAGGCTAAAAGTAAAATAGATTGAGATTAACATTACTTTGGCCTTCACACACGTATCTTTGGTTAAGTCAAACTTAGCGGCTCTGAAGTTTTACTTAACGGCCTAGTGTAAAGATTACCAATATCACCTCTAGTACAAAACCTGTCTTTAAAGAAACAATGAAGAGCTTAGACGGACGTTATTCCTTTCATATGAGCACTTTCGACTTAAGTCGGCGATGCATGAATAATTCAAAGTAACCTTCTTTAATATCGTGTGGAAGACTCTTGTGTCATGAATATTATCACAAGTTAGAGAGCTAGCTTGCGAGATTGAATCTCGCACAAGCTGATAAGGATTAAAATCACCAGCACTAAAACTCCTCAGTTCACGTTGTGGCGGGCAAGCTCATCAGTTCAAATACCTAAGTGAAAGAATTCCCTACTATTTCACATACTTCAATTTGTGAAATCACCCACCCCCTTCTTTCCCGGAAAAGGTACCCTTTCGGAAGGAGGAAAATACCAAAAACGGCTAGGTAGACTTATTGCTACTGCGCGTAGAGTTTAAATTATTACTGAGCTCAAAGATGAGAAAAAATTTAAAATGAGAATGATCTTTGTTCTTGTTGTGTCGAATCTCTACATTGTACTGCTAACAGACTAGTAAAAGGGTGCAAGGCATGTTGGCCAAGAAGTATTCTTCTTACTTACTTTGAACCCAAATCAGAGTAGATCGATTCGATGCGAGCAAACCTGACCACTGAGTTAAAATAAGATAAATCTCATACCAGTGTATTGATAAAACCTTACCTTTTGGGTGCGTCAGATTGACTGTACTGAGAAAGATAGTTAAATGGAAATCTGTTTGGGTTAACCACTATGTAAAGGCTTTAAAAACAAAAGATGTTATCTGTAATTGGCGCATCTTGAAGAGTTCTAGTCATAAGTGACTCCTATTTATCCGCGTTCATTATTTATTTTAATAAGGACTTTTTGTCGTTGATGGATCCTTTGTTTTCGACGGCTTACAGCTCTTGATTTGTGCCGATGGAAGATCTTATGATTATTCTGGTCGTTTCACGTTATCGATCGTGGAATTTACAAATGATCTTCTTGCCGGTAATTTGTCATTTAAATAATTACACACTTGATCTACGGGAACTACTCTTTTGAGCTGAAGTCCAAGTGTAATCTGAAGAAAATGTCGTGTATAAGTGCAGTTGCAGTTGCTCTTTTGTACACGCAGTCCCTCAAAAAAGAATTCAATTAAAATTCAAGAATGGCCGCCACTATTAAGAACGATAATGCCCAGATGCACAAGCCTAATCCCGCGAAATTTTACGCCCCTATGTACTTTCAGTATTTAAAAATGTTTCATGTTTATCTTTACCTTGAATTATCAAGATTTTTTCTTCCAACAGCAAAGGAATTTGGAAGAAAGACTTTTTCCGAAATTTTCGAAAGAAAATCAGCCCGTCTTCTCCGACGGGATTACTTCACCTTTAATCTGGAAACTAATTATTGAAATAGCAATTCAGACTTCATAAGCTGTGCTTTTCACGAGAAAACCCTCTCAACAAAGGCGTTAATAACAAGTCAGTCGATATGTTCCACATCGTTACACATCGCAAGCATCGCCGCATCGCCATTATGGAATATATTTGACGGAAGAGTCAAGAGACATAATGGTCACACAGGCTCGCACAAACTCCGGTTTAGGAAAAAAACAGGATATTTGCAGACTTGTTATCAATTAGTCAATATCCTAGTTTACTCGACAAAAAGCATGGGACAAAAGTCCAGTAACCAATATCACCAATTCAAAAACTGTCCCGTTTACCAACAATGAAGAGCTTAGACCTAATCCCTTATATTTAAAGCTATAGTTACCCTATATCGGAAATTTTGGGCCAGCACGAAAACAATACCGGATAGGGCTTCCGTCCACACACCAGAACAGTGATTTTGGCCCGGGGGTGGGGGGTACTCCCTTGTAAGGGCTTAATGGAGACGTGAGGTATGTTTTTTGGGATTTTTGTCTTAATCAGGGTATCGATTTATCAATTTTTGTCTTAAACAGGATAAATGTGTTAAACAGGGTATCAAAAATCGGAATTCTGTCTCACAAAGGGTAGGAAAATCAGAGATATTTGTCTTAAATAGGTCAGGGTATGAGGGGCCGCGCCGCACCTCCCCACCCAGGGATATATCGAGCTCCCCGCGGGGATTTTGGCGCGATTTCTGTGACGGAGCGAAGCTGCACCGCCCTGATCTCTTAGCGCGGAGAGTCGGATATCGGATAGTTCCAGTTTACTGAAACTAGCGGATCTCCACCCTGAAAAAATACTCTTCTTCTTTAGGAGTGAAGAATGTCAAAAGTGTATCGAGAGTTCATGGGGCTTAAAATAAAGGGAATTTAGGTCGCGGAAATTAAAACTCCACTTAATTAATGGCACGGAAATTAACGTTTACAAAAATGAACGCGACTTAAATTAACACGAATTTTGGAAATTCGTTCGTATGAAAGTTGAGGTCTTTTAGGTCGCTCGTGTTGCATGGTTTCGTGAATAAGCAAACCCGCGCGCGAGTAGCTTCTCCTCCGAATCGACTCTGAACTTGTTCTCAATTTTCCCGACTCAATATTTCCGTGTATATCAAAACAGGTATTCTGCTTCACAAGACGCCGGTGGCTATGCGATTTCTCGCCAAAATAACCTCAAGTTGCATTTGGGTTGCCATAACTGTTGATTTAGTTATTTTAAATTGGTATGCCTGTGGTGCGGACAGACAGTCGGTCGGTCAGACGTGGGGTCGTCCAGCACCTATCCAAAGCAGCTCTCTGATTGGCCAGCTCGCGATAAAAAGAGAATTTTTTTTATAGAAAGATCATCATGTATGCATTAGTTACTATTTCCCCCTCCGATTCGACCCTAACCTTTTCTCAATTCAGTTTTAACTACACAGTTAAACTGATTCACTCTGTTAGGGACAGAATACATGAAGGTTTATTAAATAAATCCTTTAAGCACGTCAACAATACTGAAAGCACGTCAGCAAGACTGAAAACCTTCACCACTCCTGCACAGCGGAAAATATTGTCCCAACAAAATCTGTTAAAAGGAAAAAAAATAAAGTTAAGCGAAGTCTGTCAAGGGATGAGTGAGCTCGTGTAATACTGACTGTGACTTAAAATGGGGTTATATAGGTGTAAATCAGGGCCTGTTTACATGGAGGTGGGGGACCCCATGTAGGTGAGGTAACCAGCTTAGGTATGGTAACCCGCCTGTCCATATAACCTCTCATGCGTTTTAATTTGACCACGTTTGCATGATAGGTGGGGTGACCCGCCACATGTTACCTCACCTATCTGGGGTCCCCGACCTCCATGTAAATAGCTTTCCTTTTAATTTTTAGTTCAGCTATTCCCTGTTGCTGATCTCGGCCTGATCTATTCCCAGATAGGGCTTTTTTTCTCTTCTATTTTTTTTCAAGTGGTGTTTGCAAGAATTGTTCCTTGATATATATATATATCTGTCAATCCTATACGTATGTCAGCCCACCCCTAAGTTTTGGGGTTGAAATGCCTCTCGCCTAAGCCTCCCCTCCCCTCTTCGTTGATCTCTCAGGGAACAGCCATATTGGATACTCATTACACTGTTTCAAATTCGATTTTTCATCCTTCACTGAGTTTGTCAGTTATACTGTTACCTCTTAAAATAAGCCACTTTCTCCAATTACTACACCTTTCCAATAAGCAGTCCCCATCCGCCCCACCCCCTTCCCTTCCCCCTGAAAAAACTGAGTAAACCACTGGTAACCCAGGCTCTGTTCCAGTAAAATTAGAGTGTTTATATGGGGTAAAAATACGATTCTAAAATTTGTAGGAAATACTAAATAAAGGTCAATGAAACTTATTCTGCAGTTAGTTGTTGTTGTCCTTTTCCAATGCTCAAACGAATTTTCGTGATAATTTACCCCCCCTTACAATATTACGACAGAAGGTAGGAAGCACGAGATGGCATCTGAGCTTCCATGCTCCTTCAACCTCTTTGCCCATCAGCAAACATTGCGATTTTACTGAAACTGTACTGTGGTACTATCACAGAGCCTGGGTTTCCTGTGAGTAAACCCGCTGGGAGGCTTCGATAAAGGAATCTCTTACATCATTTCAAGCCTGTCGTGTAGTTTAGCAATGCTCGCTGGACCATGTACAGCACACATGGTTTGCATTGTTACACCAAGCATTTGCGCATATCCTTCTATGTTTCTCTGGTTTGCAATTCAGCCTGGTTGTACATACTCCACGGACGATGTCCTGGTCACAGTTCTTGAATTCTCTTTTGAGGGCCTGCCCTTGCTCTGGTGCTGCCAGCTCGATATCATCTACAAAAACAATTGAGAAAGAGGGAAATGTATACGAGCTGTGCCACAAATTTATCAAAATCTAAACAGTTGGACCGCCACCAAATAGCGTAAATCATTTGAATAACTGCTTAAAACATGAAAAGAAGGCACAAATAACACAAACAATTACAAAGGGAGGCACGGATGGACAAAATTCAGGGGCACCCAACGTCAATCTTCGGAAAATATCTGTTGGGAAGACGATTTGAGATCTAGAATTTTCGGAACATTTGTTGTAAAATTTCTTGCTTGCCTGCCTCTCCTAGGATTTTCGAACATCTAAAAAATGGTATAATTGCCCATTTTAAACGGATTTTTACCGTAAAAAGGTCAGCTAGAAGTTTCGGGATTCTTTTTTCTGGCTGAA